AATGTAACTAACTTGTTCCAGACACCCATAATGTTCTGTAAAGAAGAGCACCCTGTTTGCAGGCACATTCTCTTAATTTTCAAGAGTTCTTCGGTAACTGGTTGTAGTATAAGTCCTGAACTGTCCCTCTTTAAACTTTATGGCAATGGTGTGTGTTAAACCTCAGAGTGTAGTGTCAAAGAGATCTATTCTTACTTGGTGAATATTGTTCAGGCACTAGAGAAGGCCTTTGGGACGACTCCTGGCTTCTACTGGCAGACTGTGGAAATAGAAGGACAGATCTGTGAGAGTGCAGGAGAAACAGCAGACAGTCAACACCCCAATACTGAGGTACGCTAGAAAGATGAGACAACTCATGCCCATCTTTGTGCTGCATCTCTAAAGTCATTGAAAGGTTAAGTGGAGGTTTTACTTCCAACTTAATCATCACTTTTTTTCTGATAATACAGATCCTTTAGAGTTAAATTATTTTAAACCACTGAACACTTTATAGTTTTTGTTTGCTAATATGATTTATTATCCTCATTAAGTTCATTTCAAACATGAACTCATGCAGAACAGTTATATAGAACTATGGTAAAATATCTCCTGTGGAAAATGTATGAAAGCAGATACTTGACTATTCTCATACCACCGTCCCTATTTACTACAGTATGTGTCGTTTCCAGGTGGCCATGGCTGTGGGCTACAGCACCCTCTTTGAGGATCCTCTTGTGATTCTCCACACTCTGCAGCTGCTCCTGAGCTCTAACCTAGATGTCTGTGGACTTCGTCTGCTCTACCCAACACATAGTCTGCTGAAAAACAGCACAGGTACAGGATTCTGAATGAGACTGTTTGTTATATGGTATGGGTGAAGAGAGGCATCAGAGGCATTGTAATGTAGCAATAAAGAGTTTTGGTGCAATGGCAGAGGAATTTAATGAGTATGTCTCTCAGATGGCACAATGTTTAAAACTAAACAGAGGAAATAAGGGCTAAATTAAGAACATGACAAAGAATGTGATTGGAAATGCAATGTTCTACTACAGTATATGAAAATTTTAAAAAAGAAGCCATGGGAGAGAAAAAAATAGACTAAATAAAATCCTTTATTTCAATGCAAAGCCTTTATTTTATTCACTAGATGGCAGCAAAGTAAAGTCTTCTACAGTAAGAGGGTTCTGCCCGTTCAGGTACGTTTTCTGCCTCAGGACACCATGGGTGACCAGTGACACGACTCTGTGTTTCTGCTTCAGGATGCCTGCCCTCAGGGTATGAGCAGAGCTGTGCCCCCAAGCCTGTCCTTGCCCTGGCTTTCAGAGGGCCCAGAGCTGCTGCAGTGTGGCTGGATATAACAGGCCCCTCAGACCCGCGGCTAGCCAGCTTGACCGACCCCAACTCGATCAACGCCACGCACTGCTCCAGCTCGGACAGGCCCCTGTTCTACACTCCCCGTCTGGCCAGTCGTATCCAATGGGGGCTGTGCATTTGGTTTGGGGGGAGAGTCCCACTGGGTGGAACATTTGACGCGGGACCACAGAATAGCACAACTGTTCCAGGGTATGGGTGAGTACAGCGTGCTTTCTGAAGAGTCTTCAGTCAAAGTGTGGCTGCATGGAATGCCAGATGCCATCTTGGAGATCATGTTACTTCAGGCTTTTGACAAGAAACACAACTTTAGGCACAAAGGAAAGAATTCCCTACTGAGCAAGCACTTTGTTTATTGGGTGGCAAGTCATTAGAGATCATGCATTGCGGTTTGATCAAAAAGTAGATACTACTGCATCACGGATATGGCATCAGAGAATGTTGGCTACAATTGATCTTGACTCTTGATTGACCACATTGGATAACTGCCAAACAATAAATGTCAGGGCTTTTGCTATTCACTGTTTTTTTTTAATTGAAATATTGGTTCGTTTTTTCATTTATGGCTTCCCAAATCTGGGCTTTTGTGGTATTCAGCTCCACTTCCCACTACCGCCCTTTCTTCACCACAGAAGAAGAGAAGGGGTATGCATGATTGTGCTTTAGGAGTGTCAACTTCAAAGTCTTGTCAAAGACTTCAAAGAGTGTGGAACTTACATTGTGCTGCTTGTTCCACAAAGGTCCACCACCGTTCCGTCCTTCCTCGCCCAAGAAGAGAAATGTGGTGATGGAATGGCAAGTTCCTCAGGCTTAGCCAGGCCTCCTGCTGCTCTCTGCTCTACAATCACAGGTAATGTTGCTTACCAAACAAAATCTTTTGCATTTTATTTTCAGTGTATGGCATAGAATCATTGCAATAACCTAGAAAT